GGGTCATGAGATTGAGCCCCTCATTGGGCTCCACAACCAGCATGGAGTCAGCTTGAGATTTTCTGTCTCTCTCTCATTCTGCCTCTGCCCCTTCCCCTGCTCATGCTCTGTCTCTTTATAATAAATAAGGTCTTAAAAAAGAGAAAAATAGTATGCATGTATTACTGACATGCATTGTATACAGAAGAAGAAAACGATAAAGCAAATGGGGCAAAACATAAACAACTGCCTCTTTCTGACAGTAGCACAAGAATTAAGTCATTACTAACCGATAATCTGCATAAAGTATATATGTAAGTTTTTTTAAGTCTTACAACTTTTCCTTAAGTTTGAAATTATATAAAAATCAAAATAACAGAAAACAATACAGTACTCTTCCCGATTTATAGGCTAGTTTTCTTCCACAGAGTGGCATTTAATACAGTCCCTAAAGATTATTAGAACACTGAACAAAGATATAGCAGTTCCCAAACTATGGTCCCTGGGGCACAATTAGATCATGACAGATTAATAGACTTATCAAGATTAAAACAATTGCTGGTGTTACTTCTTTCTCCTAAAATTCATTTTGGACATCATTTTATTCATAGGAAATTCATTTGAAAGAGCTTATATTTTTTTAGTAAAAAAATTTTGATAAAGTGAGACATGCCAAATGAGAGATGATAGAGACTGATTTATCTAAATAAGGAATACAAAAGGAGGAAGGAAGTCATCAGGGTGGGAAGAATAGTAGCTACATGGTAAAGGCTGCATGAATGGCAATGAGACCCTTCCCTAAAACCCTGCAAGTCTTCTCCCTAGTCTTCCGTTTCCTATGGAAACAGAACAGGAGCCCACGTTTTGCATCTCAGTTGACTTGGGACAGAGAGGAGTGTTTTGACCACATAAATCCTTTGACAGGAAATCTTGGGGAATCTCAAGGCTTCCGTAGGACATGAAACTAGGTGTTCAAGGCAATCTGTGATGGTCAGTTTTAAGTGTCAACTTGACTAAGCAAAGGAATACCCAAATAGGTGGTAAAACATTATTTCAGGTATGCGTGTAAGGATGTCTCCAGAAGAGATTAGCATTTGAATCAAAAAACTGAGCAAACATCTTCACCAAGCAGGTTGGCATCATCCAAATCACTGAGGGCCTGAACAGAACAAAAAGGCAAAGGAGACAAATTCACTCTCTCTGCTTAAGCTAAAACATCTACCTTCTTTTGCTCACCTGCCCTCCAATGAGGTTCCTGGCTCTCAGGCTTTTGGACTCAGAGCCACAAACTTAACACCACTGGCTGCCCAATTCTTAGACCTTCAGACTCTAAATTACACCATGAGCTTTCCTGGTTATCCAGCTTGCAAGCAACAGGCAGATTGTAGAACTTCCATGCCTCCATAATCAACTGAGCTAACCTCTATAATAAATTCTAGTTTTCACATATAAGGAGAACACCAAACACATTTATACAGTTGTTCTGATCATTATGTGTTTATATCTTAGTATCAATAAATGCTGTGCCACATTCAAGAAAGTTACACGAATGATGGGGCTGATGCAGGAGGGCTGTGCGATTTAGGCAGCAAACACCCTCTCACCGATACTTGTGGTCTGATTGAGAATCACTGGTTTAAGCTGTGGATCTTGTTTTATACTTTAAATATACGAATGTGCTATCTTATTAGTAATAAAATAGCTCAATTCTCAAATTTATATCATTCTGTCATAAAGTTTAAAAAAAATGAGTCAAATGTTGACCACTTCTTACGAATGACTTATCTATGAGACTGCTACGTATTTTTAGCTTCAAACTGAACTCGATTATATTTCATGACCACCTCATGGTTTTCCATTGCTACACTGCAACTTTTCAAGGGTTCTGTGGTCAAACAGGCTTTAAGAAATACTGCTGTAAGGTGTTATTTTTACAGACATATGTTTAAAGAGGTAGGATTCAGAAGACAGAATGCATTTTCCTATTCTGACTTCTCAAGAAACCATGAGACACAATTCTTATTATTCAAATTATGGGTGGAGCTGAATAATGAATTATCCAATAGCCAACTCACTTCCACTGTCAACACAGATGCAAACTGTATGTCACAGGTCAGCTCCACACCTTAAGAATGAAATTCCTGGGACACGAATGACTTTTGCTAAGGCCCCTGTAAACATGGACGAAGGCTACCGAGGGTGAAGCGGCACCATGAAGAATCCACAGGCTAAGAGGCTTCACCCTGGAAGCACTGCAAATCAAGGACATGGGCCTCTTTCTGACAGTAGCACAAGAATTAAGTCATTACTAACCGAAACAAAAATTACACTGTCCAAACTTTGAAAATGGTAAGCATATTCAGCCAAAATGCACATAAGTGAAGAAATTCTCAGAGTTGCAGAAACTTAGAACCACATAGACAAATGAAGGCTTTCTCAGCAAAGCTGAAGCATATTTATGGTCCTACTGTACTTGGGACTATAGTGCCATTGAAAAGCGGAAACCCAGCTGTCACCTAGGACAGGAAGGGAATTCTGCAAATTTGGCAGCAATCCTTCAGCTGTGTCCTTAATACCCCTGTTGTAGTCCGCTACGGTGTGGCGTTACTACAGAGCTCACAGAAGTCATGGAGATAGCTCCATGAAGAATCAAAATGGAATAGACTGCTCGTATACAGGGGATTCTGAAAAATATCTCATGATTTCACCTACCTAAACTATCATATCTCAGTATTACTCCCTTGTGACCATATTTATTCTCCCACATCTAAACCCTGTCATCCTCGACTCCTCCTTCCCCCTCATTTCCATCTGCTAGTGGCTGCCAACTCTGGCAGATTCCACTTCTTCACTGGAAATCCATTCCCTTCTTTTGCTCCTTAAGGCCAGTGCCCTGGTTCAGATCCTCATTTCCTCACACCATTAAGTAATTTATCCTCCTAGTATCCAGTATTTTTCATTTTATGAGCACTGTACAATTCATCCTGCTAAATCAGTTTGAATCATACCAATTCCCCTTTGAAACCATCTTCAATTATTCCTCATGGCTCTGGACCACACACATACCCCTCAGCCTGGCATTCAAGGCTCCAGTAATCTGCATGCTCTGCCCCCATAGCTCCTCAATGTCAATACCGACTGTTGCCCACACATGTCCATACAAGCACCACACGGTGCACCTGCCCTGTTGCTTTTTTCAACTTCTCTTTACATCTGGACCTCACCATGTACACAAACCAATCTATTCAAATCTTATCTATTTTCCAGGGTTGGTATCAAGTACGGCTTCCTCAAAAAAACATTTCTCAATTCCCCAAGTAATGTTATCTCCTGCTTCCCTGAACCTACTACATTTTCCTTGGCATCTGTTACGATCTGCTTTCTATGCTACTTATCTATCCTACCTCCTAGATAATTTTCATTCAGTCAATATTTATTAAGACTTGACTATATGCCAGGCATTGTATTAAGCATCAGAAATACAGGTGTGAATAAAACAGTAATGACTGCTTAAATTACACAGAGGAGTTGCAAGCTGGGATTACCACGGAACATACATACATACATACATACATACATATATACATACATTTATTTATTTATGTATTTATTTATTTATTTGACAGAAAGAGAGATCACAAGTAGGCAGAGAGGCAGGCAGAGTGGAGGGGGTAAGAAGGCTCACTGCTGAGCAGGGAGCCCGATGCAGAACTCGATCCCAGGACCCTGGGATCATGACCTGAGGCAAAGGCAGAGGCTTAACCCACTGAGCAACCGAGGCACCCCACCACGGAACATTTAGAGGGCATCACATAGTTGGCTAGATCAATTATTCTATCAAGGTGCTAGAAAACACCTGATAAACAAAATGTCATTTAGTAAGATGCCTTGTTTAAAAAACACAATTCTACTAATAAAAAGATCATTTTAAATGGGAAATCAGAAGAATTATATAGTGTGATCTTTAAGTCCATAATTAAAGACAAAAGTGGAATACCCAGGGGCACCTGGGTGGCTCAGTGGGTTGAGGCCTCTGCCTTCGGCTCGGGTCGTGGTCTGTGGTCCTGAGATTGAGCCCCACATTGGGCTCTCTGCTTGGCGGGGAGCCTGCTCCCCCCCGCCCCCGCCTGCCTCTGCCTACTTGTGATCTCTGTCAAATAAATAAATAAAATCTTTCAAAAAAAAAAAAAAGTGCAATACCCAGTATTTCCACTGAAATATTTTAGAGCAACAATTTCTATTTTTTGAAGACATAAATTTATTTAACAAACAAATGAAAAAAGGATGAAAAGAAAGACAATCAGATTTTTGTGTCAATGGGACTTCAAATAAATGAACATTATTAATCTGAATGAACAAATGAATGGAAAAAGACTACTGGTTTGGTTTTTTGAGTTTTTGGACTTAGGATTTTAGAATCTCAGTGAAATCCTCCGAAGTTCTTGTGCAGACAATAGATAAGGATATGGATAGTCAGTAGGCAAAAAAGAAGAGAATACAACTGTGAGATGAGCCATGTTAAATTATCATGAAGGAGAAAAACAAGACAAGATTTCTCTATGGCCCATATCCTTGACTGAAACACCAGTAAAGAAACTCATTTAAAAGATGGAAAAGTTCTGGGGCACCTGGGTGGTTCAGTTGGTTAAGGATCAGACTCATGGTTTGGGCTCAGGTCATGATCTCAGGCTTGTGGGACTGAACCCTGAGTGGAACTCAGTGCTCAGCACTGGGTCAGCTTGAGATTCTTTGTTTCTCCCTCTCCTTCCCCCTACTCATGCTCTCTCTCTTTCAAATAAGTAAATAAAATCTTTCCAAAAATAAATAAAAGATGAGAAAGTTCTTATCACACTTACCAGTTTTAAGTAAGTATGCAAATTCCTACATGTCAGTGATCCTATTCCATCTGACTTTGAAATACCCACCCTCCCCATCATTCACGGCAGGTGTCCAATGTTCCACCTTGTCCCACACCCTCTCTTTCTCACCCCACTCCCCCATCTCAATAATTCCCTATTTACCTCATAAGCATCTTTGATGTTCAAGGGCTCACCAAATGCTGCCACATGCCCCACAATGCCTTTGTTCCATTCTAAGCGGATACAGTTATTTGAAGCTTCTTCCAGTGTTGAACCTTCCGCAACATCAAACAGACGGCTGATAAGAAACTTGTCATTGGAGCTGTCCTCACAGACCAGAAACAGGGAATAGCGATCGGCGGAGATAAGTCCATGAATATGCAAGAAAATTTTGTGACATAAGGCTGTGACATCCAAATGACTAGAAATATCTTTCACTAATTCCAAGAGTCTTGAGCACTGGTCCCCTTCGTCATTATCAAACCTTCGGGGGGTTAGAGGCATCTGTTCCTTCTTTTCTGAGTCAGCGAGGAAGCTCACAGTGCCCTCGGAATCCTTGACAACAATGGGTCTAAGAGGACGATCAAATTCAGAGGCAGAGATTTTCCTGGTTGGTGTTCCAGGCGCACTGCTGTCTGCACGAGGACTCGGCTGCGAGAGGCAAGAACAAGATTCCGTGTGGCTTCTAATGCCTTCCTTGCACACAGGGATTGTGTGGACTCTCTCAGCGAACCAGGCATTGACCATTTCTCTGCAGGACAGAAGGCAGACTTAGTAAACATTTAAGAAAGAAAGGGGCTATCCCTGAAAACTGCTAAAAATTCTCCCATAGCAAACTGATTAGATAATAATTCAATTTTTCATAGAAAATAAAAACAAGGCAGTTTATTTAAGACAGTTTTATTTTGAAAAACTATAAAGAACAATTGCTTCAATAAACATTTTAGTAAAGTCTGATGCCTATAAACATAGATTTTTAGATATCTGATTTACAGTGCATAAAGCAGCAAGTCTTTTTCTCTCAAAAGCAGTTTACATTAGCATAAAAGACACTAAATTTGACAAGTCTTAGGAAAATATAAATATAAAAAATAACTCGCTGTCAAAAACATACAACTTTGTTCTGAAGTTAAACGTTTGAAAATTTAAAACAAATATTTATCTAAATTTGGCTAGCTAATAATATGCTTAATTTTTTATAGTTTTATCTATATTGCTATTTAGAAATTAGATTTAGAAGGGGGAAAATATAAACAATTTGATCTGGTATATACAAAGATTATAGACTTCTGTAAATATTATTCTAATAATGCTTGTTCAACAATAGTAACAATTATCTCTTCTTCCAGATTATCTACTCCTATATAAAGGAGAAAATTAAAAAGTAAGCAATACCTAATTTTAAAAATTTTGTCGAAGAAAATTTAAGTCATTTGTCTTAAATATACCTCTCTGTTAAAGAAATCCACTTGAGCTAAAGGCTTCATGGTAGGCGATTTTTTTTTAAACAATCATCAGATCATATACATCAAAATGACTGTTCAGTTCAAATGATTTCCCTTGAAAAAAATGTAATCTTATACCAATTGACAGTGACATTACTTTAGACATTTTTGGGGCTCTTCTTCTGAAACTAACTTTTAAGAAAATTTATAAGGTAAATAAGTATATTAGTTTCCTCTAAAAGTTACATCTTGTTTTTCACTAAGCCCTCCTCTCAAAACTAACAAATAAAACCAAAACCAAAACCAAAACCAAAGCCAAAACAAACAAACAAAAACCACAAAAAATACCACACAAAAAAACCCCAGAGTAACAGCTAACTTAATATCTCTTATGCGGATTTGACTTTTCCCAAGACTCAAATTCACATTCAAAAGATAAAAACTAGCTATCACTGATGATATTTAAAAGAATTTGCCCATAATAAAAGCAAAACAATCCCCACTCTACAATGACATATTGATTATTTTCACTAAAAGGCCAGGACAAAAAGTTGGACAATGCACTATTTTGGAGAGTGTTGGTATACGGACACTCTTCAATCATTTTGGCTGTAGTAATATGAAAAAGGAAAATAACATATTAGTTTTACACAATAGAATGATAAAACTACATTTATAGCAAAATGTTTTGTGATTTTAATGTTAAAGGACTATTTTTAACGTTTACCTACAAATCTATACTATGACTAAGATGCACGTTTAAGAGATTCAAGTTTGTTTTCTATCTTTCTTGTATATATGATGCATGCAGTCTTGTGACAATTTATTTTAAAATGCATTATTCATTCAATATTATGCTTTATTTGCATGCATGTATATATTAAATAGGATTCCTTTATCTGAGGGCCTTGGGTCCAGATCAACACAATCTTCTGATACTGAATGATGTAAAATAAAATTCCTTCTCTACCTTAAGAGACTTTTCCAGAAAAAAAAAAATCTTTTTACCACCTCGCTGGAGGTAAACAGGCAATTTCTAAAAAATTTTCAAATGCATTTATCCTTTGTTCCCGAGATTTTATCCATGTGGCCAAAGAAGTTCCAGACTATTTATTGTAGCACCCGTTTGTTATAGCAAAGATAAACAAGCTACCTGGACCAGCTGTTTAAATACATAATGATACATTTATACAATGGAATACTAGGGCAGTCCTGAAAAATTGTTGTATGAGCCGCTGTGAATAATCTCCACAATTTATTAAGTGAAAAAAGAAGAATACAGAGGGAAAAAGAAGAGGCTGACTCATTTCTGAATCTCTACTAAGTTTTCCATTTTTGAGATACTCTATTGATTATTTTGTTTTGAACAACACTGTATTATTTGGTAGATATCTATTACTCTGAAATAGTACCAGTCTAGAAAGGAATGGGTAAAAAAAATAATAACAGATATTATCAGAATGACCTCAGAATTTCAAGTGTTAGATACAGTTATAAAAACCTTTCAAAGATCCCTTTAAGAAAAAACACTTACATAACCCCCCAAAATTGCAGTAGCAGTGCCAAAGACATTGATATCAAAAAAGCATGTGAAGCTGTCAAAAATGTACAGGAAGTTTCTGACTAAAATTGTTTTGTAAAATACAGATAGGGAAAAAGCTCTATGTCTAAATTAACATATTTTATGTGATTTAAACATATGTACATGTAACTTAAATTGTTAAATCAATATAAAAGAGGCGTTTATTTCAGCTACCATTATAAAATTAAGTCCAATTTATTTCTTATCTTCTTATTGGAAAATGGTGATCAACTTTTTTCCGAATTTTTATATATTTTTAAAGATTTTATTTATTTATTTGACAGACAGAGATCACAAGTAGGCAGAGAAGCAGACAGAGAGAGAGGAGGAAGCAGGCTCCCTGCTGAGCAGAGAGCCGATGAGGAGCTGGATCCCAGAACCCCAGGATCATGACCTGAGCCAAAGGCAGAGGCTTTAACCCACTGAGCCACCCAGGCGCCCCCAACTTTTTTTTTTAATCAAAATATCTACATGACAGATCCATGCAGCTATCTAAACAGACAACTTAAAATGGTGAAAACAGAATTCCTAATGCCCTACCCATCATCTTACTCCAATCTCACTCTCTGCCAGTTTTCCTCCTATTAACAAAGGGCACCATCACCTCCCTAGTTACTCAAATCAACATGTAGGAATTACTCTAAATTTCTTTTTCTTTCAAATCTCATGTCCAAGTCAAGTCGCATCAATGTGCCTCCCCAAACCTTATATCCCAATCTGTTCATTTCTATCTCTTGCATTAAATCCTGGTCCAAGTCCACTGTGGCCACAAGCCCCCACTGGTCTCTATATGTTATACTCGCCCCCATTCAATCCATTCTCCCCACAGCAGTCAGAGCAATCTTTGAACAAAATATATCTTAACATCGTCAGTTATCCTACTTGGCTTCTCAGTGAATAGAGAACAAAACCCAAAATCTTTTAATCCCCTACCACAGTTCCACTTGGCCAGGCTGGCCTCCCTGGTCCTCCTCAAGCACCCCAAGCTCTAACTGTCCCCAGTCCAGAGTGTTCTCCCCTCACCTACGTCTGGCTGATCATAGCTTCTATGTTCTCCACTCAGACAAATCTTCCCTGGTCATGCCCCCTAGAGTGGCCTCTGACACATGATGTTCTCACCTCCCAGCGCCTAAATGCTTCTTACTGGATATTTTTCTTATTGGTTAATCTGTTGTTTTATTGTCTGTCCCCTCCAACCAGATGTAAATTTCATCAGAGCTACTTGTCTGTCTTAGAAAATGCCTGTCTCATAGTCTGTCTACAATAAATAATTCTTGAGTAAAGTGAATGGATCAAAAGTAAGGCTCCTAAATTAACTACACCAAAAGGGACAACAGTCTTTGAATATATGAATGCTGGTATATTTGTTACAAGAAATCAACACTGTGGTTTAACTGTTAATATTCTTTACTCCTTGGATGTAAGTCTCATCCTGACTATGGTATGATGTAAGTCTCAACTGACTATGGTTAATTTATTCTCATATAACCTGAAGGACCTACTATATGTTTTAAATAGAGCCAGTGCTTAAAAATTCTTTGTTCTATGTTTTTTTATTACTGTATCTGCCTCACAAGTGTTTTTGTTTCTAGCTATTTTCTTGGTGAGGGAATTTAATATTAAATTATACAGGAATAGCAGATCTTTTTTTTTTTAAGATTTTATTTATTTGACAGAGAGAGAGATCACAAGTAGAGAAAGAGAGAGAGAGAGGAGGAGGCAGGCTCCCCGCCTAGCAGAGAGCCTGATGCGGGACTTGATCCCATAACCCTGAGATCAGGACCTGAGCTGAAGGCAGAGGTTTAACCCACTGAGCCACCCAGGCAGCCCCGGAATAGCAGATCTTGTACATTCACTCATTCAATCAAGAATTTTTATTAACCAGCAGTCTTGGGGGATGGGGTTTCTCATGACCACATTATAATGACCACATTATTGATTATCTGAGTCCCTGTAGTTATATGCTTATGCAGGAAAACATACATTATCATAATATCAAAACACTTACTTAGGAACCAACCCACAAATAAAATTAAATCATTTCTCACATCTCTCTCTCATCACACATCCCTTAAAGTTTTGTAGTGTATGACCCAGGTGGCCATATGAAGTGGGCCTTTCCTCTTAAGACTATTAATCCTCTTCCGATAATTTTTTAATATTTCAGTCTCTATACAAATACAAATAATCTGCAAATCAAAATTAAAATTCTTATATAAGATACAGAATTTCTAGAAGTAGATCAATGTTGGAGAACCATTACAATATATTATTTTTTTTACAATTACATTACATGACAATTATAATATTATACAATGCCACTAACAATTAAGGGCTATGCCCAATTAAAGACCAGCTAACAAATACAAAAATAATCAACAAGGAAAATGACATAAGTTACTTGAAAAGAGAATTTTATTTAAATAATTATTTTCAAGACTAAGAAATATCCTTGAAAAATCTGAAGAAACCTTCAAAATATTAATTTGAAAAACTATTTCTTGAAAAAAAAGAATCTCTCACCCTGTCATAAAAGTCAAACATGGAGAAGTTAATTGATTATGTAATAGTTTTGTTAAAAATTGTTTATTCTAAAATTTAGCATGAAATATTCATTATAATATAAATTTTATTAAATCTAGGACAAGGTTAATTTACTTTCATAATCTCTGGGTCCGTTTTCAAGATAAAGTTGCAATCAATCGTTTCTACTGATTTTTTTTC